AACAGAGTGAGATTTTAGACAAGATATAGTTTCAAATATGGCAGAACTTCTTTTTAATCTAGTTTGTTTTTGGACACTCTTGCCTAATTTTAAGAATAATAGTAAAATATTTGTTAGAATAGACAGATATATAAGTGCACAAAAACACTAAGCACTAAGAAAACATAATAAATCTGACATATTTTACAATGTGTTACAAATAAGAAATTCAATATCAAAGTATACTATGAAGAGATTAAAATGGTGGTCCTCAGAGTAGAATATAATATTTCTAATACAGATACCTAACTACAATAAGAAGAATCAAAACCTCATGCACAGACTATATAATGTTAAGAAAAAAAGACAGCCAAAACAACAGCAAATAGGCAATTAGAACTTGAATATACATTGCCAAGAAGAAGACATCCAAGTAAGTCATAAATCATGAAAGATTGCTCAGTTTTACAAATCATCAAGAACTACAAATTGACACTACAATAAACTTTAATCATAATGGCTAAAATGAAAACCATGAAAAATGCCAATGTTGGCAAAAACTGTAGTCTTTGGCCCTCTCATATAGTCATGGTTGAATTGTAAATTGAAATAGTTAATTTGTAAAATCATTTGTGAAATCTCATGTTATGAATATTATGTAATCAAGTAATTCAACCAAGCTAGGAAAATATCCAACAGATACATGTTCACAAACACCCATGTGCTTCAATGTAGTAGAAGCCCTATTCTTATTAGACAAAATCGAGAAATTGCCCAAGCGGCCCTTCAGGGAAGAATAAATATAGAAGTTTTAACATATTTAGTGAATGGATTACAACAGTATTGAATTTTCTGCATCTATCAGCAAACACATGGATGAGTATCACAAATATAATGTTGAATGATGAGTTGCCAGAAATAAAAATAGGCTAAACTGATTCTTGTCTTTAGGCATCTTTATGGTTATTATTCTCAAGGATGTGCCTGGAAAGGTGCGCAGGTTCTGGATCTGGGGCGATGGCAATTTATTTTGTTGACGTGGAGGTACTGGCTACCTAGGTGTGTATAGGTTGAGAGAGAGCGAGAGAGCGAGAGAGAGAGAGAGAGAGAGAATGTAGCCCAGACCAATCCAAGACCAATTTAAGCAGTAAATCAGATCTTCAGATTTTTTGGAGGGTGTTAATTTAAGTGGTATAATTTTTGTTAAGTGAATATATTGTATTGTCAATTCTGGCATTTAAGTGTAACCATAACTGGAATAATGTACGCTGTATCCATTAAGTAATTTCTCATCCCTCACACCCCTCCCACCCTTTCAGTCCCCAATGTCTCTCATCCTACACTATGTCCATGTGTGCACATTGTTTACCTCCTATTTGTAAGTGAGAACATGCAGTATTTGACTTTCTGTTTTTGAGTTGTTTCACTTAAGATAATGGCATGCAATTCCATCCATGGTAAGCAAAGAATATGATTTCATTCTTTTCATGGCTGAATATTATCCCATTGTGTGTGTGTGTGTGTGTGTATGTGTGTGTGTGTGTGTATAAGCATTTTCTTATCCAATAATCCACTGATGAACATTTTGATTGATTTCCTATCTTTGGTATTGGGAATAGCACTGTACATGATAAATGTACTCAAGGACCTAGAGATAGAAATTCCATTTGTCCCAGCAATCCCATTACTGGGCATATAGCTAAAGGATTATAAATCACTCTGTTATAAAGACACATGCACATGAATGTTCATTGCAGCACTGTTTACAATAGCAAAGACTTGGAACCAACCCAAATTCCCATCAATAATAGACTGGACAGGGAAAATGTGGCACATATACACCATGGAATACTATGCAGCCATAAAAACAATGAGTTCATGTCCTTTGTAGGGATATGGATCAATCTGGAAACCATCATTCTCAGCAAACTGAGACAAGAACAGAAATTCAAACACCACACGTTCTCATTCATAGGTGGGTGTTGAACAATGAGAACACATGGACACAGGGAGGGAAGCATCACATACTGAGATCTGTAGGGGGGAACTAGGGGAGGGACAGCAGAGGGTGAGTAGTTGGGGAGGGATAACGTGGAGAAATGTCAGATATAGGTGATGGGGAGGAAGGCAGCAAATCATATTGCTATTTATGTACCTATGCAATAATCATGCATGTTCTTCATATGTACCCCAAAACCTAAAATGCAACAAAATATTTTTAAAAAAGAGTATGTATCTTTCTGATACAATGACTTATTTTCTCTTGGGTAGATACACAGTAGTGGTATTCTTGGATCTAATAGTAGTTCTACTTTTAGTTATTTGAGAAATCTGCATACTGTTTTCCATACAGGTTATACTAATTTATGTTTCCTCCAATAGTGTGTAAGCATTCCCTTTCCTCTGCATCCTCACCAACATCTGTTATTTTTTAACTCTGCAAGAATTCCAATGCAGAGAAAAGGTGATATTCACTTCTCCATTACAAGGTAAAGGTAAATGACAAAAATAGCCCACAGCTGTAATTTTCAATCTGGAGTAGCTACTTTTTGAGAATGTTTTTCTTGTACTTTATATCCATGAATAATTTTAGCACTTATTTCATATATTATTGTTCCTGTTAATGCTGAAAACATGAAAGCACAGATTATATCTTATCACAAGGGCCAGTAGCTAGTAGAATTATCAACATCATGTTTTAAATGCAATGCCTTTTATACTAAATTCTGTGTTTCACACTATCACTGCCTGCTCAACTTACATTTGAAAAAACAAATGAAACAAGATGTAAAATTTGAAATTAACATGCTTTTATTTATCTTCAGAGCTTGAACATAAGAATGGAGTTCTTATAAGAGTATATTACAAACCACTAAAAACAGTAAAATATTTTTTAATTTTTATTCACCCTGCCTTTGTTTATTGATGTTGTATTTTGGGCTCCCTCTAATTTTTCATAACAAATATAAAATATAACCATACATAACATGTATGGTTAGTTTCAAGCAGATTTAAAACCCAGAGAGAGGAGAGCAATAGACAGAAGCAGCATTTTACCATTTACTTCAAGTCATTATGATTTTGTGCACATTTGCATTTGCTGAGCTGCTCTTCTAATTCAAAACACTAAGCTTTAATTAGTTACACTGAAAAGATTTTTCTATACAAAGAGGCATAGCTTAATAGATCATGGTTCAATTTCCCAATCTATTTTTCCTTTTGTTTACTGCTATACTGTAGTAAAATATATTATTCTTTTAAGCATTCAATCTTTATGTTTGTGCAACAGTTTAGAAAGGTCAAGACCAGTGAGAAATGGAGAAAGTAAACTGTTATGTTTGGTATTTACAATCTGATCCCTATTTATGGCTGTCAAATCCCTATAACACCTCTCCCTGCAACATACACACACACATGCACTTAAGTAGGGTCCACAGTCCTTATAACTAAGTTTTATTTATATATTCTCCAAATATGCTAAAATTACCACTTGTAAGTCTGAGCTGTTACATATAAAGGATTCTGGGCAGGGAGGAAAGGATTACTTGTTTGTATTACTTTTCAGGAAAGGTAACACGTGTAAGCCCAACATCTGGTACCGGGATCCTCATATAAATGTCATTACTTGTTAAAAAATAGTCATTCTATCTTCTAAAGAATTAAGTGAAAAACCCAGAAATATATATATACACATATAAAATATACACTGTTCACATATATGTATACATAGTTATATAAACATATCTATGTGAATGTATATAAGTATATATACATATTTCCCTGAATCAACAATAGGCTTAAAATTATACTTCTACATGAACATACAGAAACTAGAGTTTATCTTCAGAAAAAAACAAAAAACAACTTTTGAATATTTCTTCATTTGTGATTTTTACTTTTACACAGTCACAGCTTTTTTTTTTGACAAAAGAATTATCCCATTGTGTTCTTCCATAGACATGATTAAAAGAACTACCAACCAAAAGTCTATTAAGAACACTGAGATTCCACAAAGAACCCTTTTCTTCAGTTTTATTTAAAAACTATATCATAGATCTGACCTTTTTCTGTTATAAAAAATAGTAGCAGTCTTATAAGTTGCCAGAGTTGGTTCACAAAACAGGTTTGTGGAAACCAAAGTATTAGAAATCAAGCCCCTTATTCACAAAATTTATATTTTATTAGTAATTTGAATTGTTTTAATATCTCTCTACTGTCTCTGTCACATCCTCAAGTGGCACACAGATTGTCTAGAATTTAAAATTTTATTTTCTAGAAGATTATCAGCCAGCAGAGCTTTGAAAAGCATTGCACAGTGTACTCACTATAATCACACATACAAAGATTGTAACTGCATGTGCCCGATTACCTATTTGTAATCCCGTTTATTCTCCTATGTGCAGAGCAGAAAAGGTATCTAGATCAATAAACTCAGGCCATTCCATTAATTTATTCAGTCCATTTCAGACAGGTTTTCTTTTGTCATCTGTCTCTCTCCAAGGGAGTAGTTGACATTCCTGACCTGGAAACTATTCCTAATTCTGGCCTTGCTGCCCTAACTACAAGATTGCTGAAATCCAGCTTCAGCAACCTTGCTGGTGAGCTTGCCAATCAGCACCATCTGCCACCTCGTGGTCCTTTCATGAGATTGGTGGAGGGACGCTCTTGGAAATGGTCATCGCCGCATGGGGCCCATAGGAAATTCTTGGGAGCCAAATGAAGTGCTCTTTCTGCCATATTAGATCAGGCTTAAGGCCAGTTTAATTTTCCTTTACCTGTCTTGGGTTGGTAGAAGGTAGAAAATGTACATGTGTGAATGGGAGTGGGCTGAAGGGAACAAGGGATTCTTGGGCTATCACTTCCTAATGTTTCTGTTTTTCTTCCAAACTCACCTAACTTTGTCAAGGAACATTGATGTAAAAGATGGGTTTGCATGCCTGCTGTTCCTGCCACTGTGGGTTTCTCCCTGACGCCAGGCTCTCTTCTGCTCAGCATGCCATACACAGCTTCAAGAGGGAATTTGCTCTCTTTCCCTGGTACATCATGTGAAATGACTGACCAGGTATCTGCTTCACAATGGAAAGAAATAAAAATATCAGTTTATGATTTTCAAAAAGTGCTCTCTGAAACAGCATGTTGGATTAAATTTCTTTTACACCGTGGAGTGAGACTGCAGTTCTCTCCTGTTATCAACTGTGTCTTGGGATACAGACACTTGTTCAGGATCAAATTCTATCATTTTAATCTCATTTTTCACAATTCTGGGATAGGGAGCATTATCAGAAGCTGCTGCATTGGTATCTGAAATTGTGTTTGATGATAGGAGTGGATTTCAGCCATTCTGGGAGGTATTCTCCTTCCACGAGAAGAAAGAACAAGCTTTGTTTCTTTAAATTAATACCATTCTGGAACAACTGACTTTAGCACTTTTTTTCATCTAGTCGGGGCAATTGTAATGCAGGTGCAAAACATCAATGAATCGTGTTACCTTTGAGCTAAGAGACGTCTGTTCTAATTGAGCTCTGGTTAGAGTAGAAAAAACAATAAAAAGATTGAAATAAAGGAGGCTTTCCTTAGATCACCAGTACCTTATATCAAAATCAGAATTAATTGACTTGTTTATTTGAAGTTACACTTCTGATACATCATTTATTTGTGTTTCTCAACCTGTTTTTCTTATTTCTATTGTAAGTGATCCTATTTGTCTTACCACATTAAGTTGAAAGATATCATTTGCTTTTTTCCTCCTCCAATGAACAGATACAGGTGAACATTAACTTCAGATAAATAACCTTCAAAACATTATGTAATGTAAACAAGTAAAATCCTTAAATGCAATACCTTTAGAAAATTACAAATTAACAGGCTAAACAAGTAACATTTCCAGTACTCCAAATTATTGGAAGGGGATGTTTTCTTTTCTTAATGAAATCCTGTAGCTTAGAATTATCTGCTGTGAAAGTGACAACTTGTTAATAAAGGTTTACTTTTCCCCAGATTAAAAACACTTTCAAGGTTATAAAATCGAAACAATAAGCAAGTTGCTGTTATGTCTTTTTAAATTTATGGGAAACAAGCCAACAGAATGGAATAAAAATGGCATTTATTTTCAGAGTCACAGAGATGGAGCCAATTCCATTTGTCACAGGCTCTGCCAGATCTGTAGAGGATAACAACCTTACACTTTTGGGGAGGTGGGATTCAAATTTTCCTTCAAACAAAAGTGTATTCAGAATCTTGCTAGATTGAACTGGATGGAGTACAGCCTAGAAACCGACAGTCCTGTTACTCGTTCTCATCCTTCTCCAGGGAAAGAGGCTGAAAGGGTTGACCACATCCCTGGAGCTCATAAAGCAGTTGGAAAGCACGGATAGGAGAAGACGTGCTCAGTGTTCACGTCAGCTGTATAATTGTTTTCTCAGTTATTTATCATTCTCCTTACATCACTTCAACTGTTCATTGAGGACAGAGAAAAATATAATGTCATTTTTTTAGTTGAAATGGATTTTTAAAATTTAAAAGAATATGAATTATGGAAAATATATTTGACTGTTGAACAACATGAGAGTGAGGGTCGCTGATGCACTGCACTGTGGAAGATCCATGTATAACGTTTGTCTCTCCCCAAAGCTAATGATTAATAGACCACTGCTGATCAGAAAACTTACTATTAACATAGTAAATGAACACGTTTTGTGTGTTTTATGTATTGTAAATTATTACTACAGTAAAGTAAGCTAGAGAAAAGGAAATGTTATTTTAAAAACCATAAGGAGAGAAAATATATTTATTATTTATTAAGTGGAAGTGGATAATCATAAAGGTCTTCATCCTCATTGTCTTCGTGTTGAGTAGGCTAAGAAGGGGGAGGGAGAGGAGGGGCTGATCTTACTTTCTCATGGGTAGCAGAGGTAGAAGACACAGAAGGGCAGGCAGGAGAGGCAGCCATACTCAGTGTGACAGTGTGGAAGTATGTTGTAATTTCTGTCTGACCTTTTCATTTCTCTCAAAATGTTTCTGGATGATACCAATCCTTCTCCCACCATTTGCTTTTAGTTTCAGTGCCCATATCATAGAAGGGGCCATGTCATAAAAGAGGCCAGAAGCAGTCTTGAATAATCATTACTCTTCCACCAGATTGTCTAAAGACAATTCGTTTTCTGCCACAGTTTCCTCTGCCTCCGTCTTCATCATCTGGCAGTGGTTCTGAAGCACTTATCTCCAGCCAGTTGCCTTCTGTTAATGTCTCTGGTGTGGTGTCCATTAACTTTTGAATTGACTCAAGATCCGCATTTCAAAACCCTTCACCCCCACCTTTCTGCCTTGTCCACGATCTCTTTCATAATGTATTTGATTGACTCATAGCAAATTCTGTCAAGTCATGCACAATATCTGAACAGTTTTCAACAGCAGGAATTTACTATTTGGGGCTTGATGGCTTTCACACCTTTCTTCTATAACAATGATGGCATCTTCAGTAGTATAATCCTCCCAGACTTTCATGATGTTCCCGCTACGAAGATTCTCCTCCATAGCATTCACAATTCTTTCCATAGAGTACTGTAATGTGTATAAGCCATAAAGTTCTTTAAGATCACTGATCTAGAGGCTGAATTGGACACATTGTATAATTAGACCACTACAGTGCCTTTGATGTGGAATTCATGGGGTTCTGAGTGGCCAGGAGCGTTGTCCAGTAAAAAAAACAAAAACAAAACACCTTAAAAAGGAAGTCGCTTTTTGGCAAGGTATGTCCTGAGTTCAATGGAACCAATCCAGAAAAAGAGATTTTATTGTCCAGGCCTCCTTGTTTTTCAACCAAATGACTAGCAGCTGATGTTTATCTTTTCCCATGAAAGCTCAAGAGTTAGCAGCTTTATAGATATGGGCAGTCCTGATCATAAACCGCACTGCACTTGCACAAAACAGCAGAGTGAGCCAACCCCTTCTTCCATTAAATCTTTGTGTTCACTTCTCTTTCTTCCTAATAAATGTCCCTCATGTCATTTTCTTTTCTGTAATGGGACACTTTTGTGTGCATCAAAAACCTGTCCAAGCGGATAGTCTTTCTTCTCAATGATTTTCTTAATGACATAGGGGAACTCATCTTCTTCCTCTTGGTTGGTAGAAGCTGCTTCTCCTGTTAACATTTTTTAAGCCAAGCCTCTTTCTAAAATTATCAAGCCACCCTTTACTGGTGTTCATTTCCCTAGATTTAGATTCTTCACCTTCTTTTTTCTTTACACATCTTCATATATATATA